TTTTACCGGGTTGAGGCGGATGCGATACTTCCTGAGCTTTTGAAACGTTTGTTCAAAATCCTGAACATGATTCATCATATCAAATGACTTCACAATCATATCATCTATGTATACTTCTACATTTCTGCCCAGCTGATCTTCGAAGACCTTATTCATCATCCTCTGGTAAGTTGCCCCTGAGTTTTTAAGTCCAAATGGCATCACATTGTAGCAATAGTTGGCCTTTTCAGCAATAAAGGCCGTTTTTCTTGATCCGCCGGGTACATTTGGATCTGGTTGTATCCCGAATAGGCATCCATGAAAGACAACAGACGAAATCCAGCTGAGTTATCTACCAGCTGATCTATGTTAGGCATAGGATAAGCATCCTTTGGGCAAACTTTGTTTAAATCTGTGTAATCAGTACAGATTCTCCATTTCCCATTTGGTTTTTTCACCATCACCGCATTGGCTAGCCATGTCGTGTACTGTATCTCCCGAATGAACCCGACATCTAAGATTTCTTTAACGTGTTCTTGTAGAATTTGTTTCCTTTCAGGTCCCAATTTTCTTTTCTTCTGAGAAACTGGTGTGGACCCCGGATAAGCTGCCAATTTGTGACAACAAAATGCGGGGTCGATGCCAGGGATCTCTGACGACTTCCATGCAAATACATCTGTGTTGCTTTTAAGAAAGTCAGCCAAAATTTGCTTAATCTGGGGGTCTATGGTCTTACCAATGCGGGTAAATTGACCAGGCTCTTTCCCCAACGTGAGATCCTCAAGCTCTCCATCAGGTTCGGGTCTCGGCATTATTTCTTCTCTCATGTCGAGTTCAACCATGTTGACCGGCTTCTTAGATTGCTGAGGAGTTAGATTCCTACCGGTTTTATCCCCCGAGTGAATTCGGGGTGGGCTCGAACGTCCCCTTTCATTTTCTTTGATAGTATCAAAGTAGCAGCCCCTGGATTCCTTCTGATCTTCACAAATAGTGATTATTTCATTCTTATTGCTCACCATTTTTATCTTCTGGTGTTTTGTACAAACCAGCATGTCCCACTGATGTATGGTCGGTCTTCCCAGGATTATATTATATTCTGAAGGGAAGTCGGCCACTATGAACCTAACCCGTTCTGATCTGAACGCTTTTTTTGCTCCCAAGGTTAATCTGAGATCAATGTAGCCTTTAGGAGGCGTATGCTCTCTATTAAAGGCTACCAGCGTCGTTTTGCAAGGTTTGAGGTCCTCTTCATCCAGGTTCATCTTTTTAAAAGCATACCAGAGTATGATGTCGGCACAACTCCCTGCATCCACGAAAATTTTCCTAACCCAACAATTCACTAAGGTCCCCGCAATGACCAATCTGTCAACATGACCCGGCAACACGCCGCGCATGTCCTCTTTGGTAAAGTATAAAAGAGGAGGATCTGGCTTGGTTGGGACTTCTTTGAACTTAGGACGATCTCGAATAGAGAGTACCTCTTTCAGGTATTTTCTTCTAGCACTTACAGTATCTCCTCCTCCCCCCAAGGCTCCACTAATTACATTACAATCAAACTCCACTTCTGGGAATTCGTCATAGTTGGAATCATTTTTCTGATTCCTATCCTGTTTGTTCTTCTTTTCAGGAACGGGACTTTTGCTCTGATTCCTGTTTCCCAACTTCCTTTTGTTGTTTCTGGAACCTTGGGTTTTTATCACGTATTGACGTAATCTACCATCTATTACAAACTTCTCCACCACATCTCGGAGATCCCAGCACTGATCAGTTGTGTGACCTGGCCCATCATGAAAAGCGCAGTATTTGGACTTATCTAACCCTCCTCTGTCAAATATGGGACGAGGTCTCTCCACCTTTTGCATCTCCGTCGTGGCTACTTCTCTCCAGATTTGAGAACGCGACGCATTCAAAGGTGTATACTTGTCATACCTCCCAATGCGGTCCCTTATGTCCGGGATTCGTTGGCGTTGATCTTTCTTCTTGTTGTCAACTCGTTCCTCTCCCTTCGGGGGTGGGCTCATCCTTCTCGGGCTTGCTCTTTTGCCTTCATCAGATTGCGCATTTGCAATCTCCATTTATTCTAGTTCGAGATATTTCTTCGAACGAGTTCTAAATTCCTCCAACGTCCTTACTGGGTCCTTATAGACCGACTTGGCGAGTCTGGATGCACCATCCAGACCTGCCACAATGAGGTGGACGTGGACATTCTCTTGCAACCCTGGGACCTGTAATGCAGCGTCCTTGAACCGGTTAAGGTATTTTTGGAGGGTTTCTCCGGGTTGCTGTCGTATCTTTCCAAGAGCGAACTCAGACTTTGGATGCTTCTTGCTGATTGCAAAGTTCAATAGGAACTTCTGTCCGAATTCCTCAAAGGATCCGATGGAATTAGCAGGCAGGGTTGAGAACCACGCCTGTGTTGCCCCAGTTAGTGTTATAGCAAATACTCAGGATATGAAAGGTTCATCAATTCCCCGAATGTACATGTCTGTGTCAAAGGCATCTATGTGCACCTGCGGATCCTGGCTCCCATCATATTTCGGCAGGCGTGCCGAGTCAAAGTCCTCTGGGAAGACAACGTTTAATATTTCAGTAGTGAATGGGCTGTTATTATACTACCCCCTGTTGTACTTCCTCCTATACCCGCCAGGTTCTACTCGCCCTCGGATGTTTTGAGGATCCTGTTGAAACTGAGCTCTAACTCGGTCCTCCTGACCGTCAGCATGTGCCTGATGGTTTTGTGCATTTTGGCCATCAGCGACCTGGTTTCCCTGGTTCACCAGGTTATCAGGGTTTTTTGCATGAGGAACTTGGTTTGACAGAACCGAGTTCCTAGGTCCTTCTCGACCATTGGCAGGTTGGCCTTCGACATTGGTTATTCCTGGCACAGTCCGCCGCGTTAATCGCCGCTCCAGGTCTTGCATCCCTCAATTATTTTCCTCCCGAATAGCCCTGAAATCTTGTTGCCGTTGCAAGTTAGTACGGGTTTCCAGCGCTTCCATTCGCTCCATGATTGCGGCGAACGCGTTGTTGGCCAACCGAGTATCCGGATCAGCCGATTGAGCAATGCGCGTAGCCAGGTCGCCAGGATGCTGGGCAGGGTTGCTTCTTATTGGAGCTACGTTCACCGCAGCCCCCCCATCTAGACGCACCGGCGTCGAAGCGGTGTCTGAAACATCGTCTTCGACCTGGACGTGGTCGTAATCCACGTTGTTTCCGATCTGGTTGTGAGGCTGATTTATCTCCTCTATGACTGGATCCAACGATTGATTCTGATTTGGGGGTGGCTGCTAGCTACTGCTCATCGTCTGGATTGCCATCCCTTGTCAGATTCGGTGGGAACTTCAGATTCAAAGAAGAAGTTTCCCACAGACGGCGCCAATGTTCTGTCCTTGAGACAGAGATGTCTAGCCCAATTAGGCTAGTACGTTAATGTTGGATCTGGTGCCCTCTCCAAGGTATCTATGAAGGAGATACCCTTGAGTCAAGCAGATCACTGTGCACAGAATACTATAACAGCGTTAGCCAATGGGGTGTGTGTGTGCACAGTGACAACATAACAATAAGAGAGAGAGAGAATGTGTGTACCTTTAGGGTTTACCTTTGTATTTATAGAGGTTACCTGTAGGTAGTGTGGATGGGCCTTTGGTTCCTACGGTGAGGGTCCAGGCCTGATAGCTATGCTGTCGCATTAGGATTAGTATCCTTGATGGATATCTATCCTTTATTAGCATCAATCCATATCTTGGATTGCCCCTTGTTGGGCTTACTACTTAATGGGCCCATTATACGGGTCCATAACAGTCAACATTTTACTGTGAAGCATATCTAATTGTAACATAACACTAATTTTACTGTGAATCCAGAACAAAATTTTAAAGCATAGTAGTTTTTTGTAAATCCAAATCATAGCAAGTTGTTGCTGCAATTATGCAGACGATATGACTTCAAGCAAGTTTGCCTATCTTCAGAGGCATCGTCTGTGTTTTTTTCTTTACATTGCCTTGACTTTTCCTCTTTTCCTTCATTTCCTTAACTTTAACTTTCACATCCAAATCCTCAATAACTTTTCCTTTGCCTGCAAAAGGTAATAATACAGGTAAGGACAAAGTCCTATCCAGGTAACAGAAGGTTCTAGTTAATGGTGTTACCAAGGCGAAATTCGAGAGGAGCTTGGTCAGCATTTGACTCAAATATTACTCCATCTTCCTTCAACTTTTCAGTCAAATAAATGCTGACCTGCAACCAAAGACTACTTATTTAAATCAAATCGAATCTGCAATTCTTTTTGTTAAAACTTCTTACAGGTAGCCACTAAGATATTTTAAATCATCTAAAAGAACTACCTTTATTCCTGCTGCACCAATTTTTGCATCTTCCCTCTTGTTTCCATCCTCCTCCATTGTCTCCCTACTTTGCTCAACAGATAGACGCATATCAGAACATGACAATTTCATGGAGAACAACTGTAGAAATCTGCAGTTAAAGGAAAACTCACTCATTAATAGTGTGCTGTTTATTTTGTTCATTTATATGAACGTTCTTTGACTGTTCTTTCCTATTCTTCTTTGGATTTTCACCCAGTCCATGACCAACCTCAGAAGAAGGTAGTATTTTATCCTGGGTTTCAGTTTCCCTGCTTCATATCGAAGACAAAAAAAGATCAGCAACCAAACCAGAAAACTTTGCATGAAACACAACAAAGGAAGTATGTAAGGGCATTGACATTTTTACCTCTGCTTTCTTTCCCTAACATGGTCTTTGATAGTAGGTGCAGAACCAAGGAACAAAATCCTCTCTAAGGTGGCATATAGGTAGACAAGAAACAAATATGCATTTAAAATTCTGTACATTAAAAAATTTGAAAACTTTATTATTTGTATGAAACTTTAATTTTGATGATGACTAAAATTGCCATAAACATATCTAAAATCAGACAGATATTGTTAAGTTTAATATACTTACAAACAAAATAAAATTGATAATTATTTGTGTAGGAGTAAAGGATGTACATTTTAGGGTCAGTTTGGTATCCCCTTACAAATGAGATGAAATTTACAGTGGTAAGTCAAAAATGAAAAATATGAAAAATCCACCCCTAGACTTTTCACCCTCAATTTTGAGGGAATACCAAACTAACTCTTAAAATTAAAAAATAAAGTGATACATTAGTGTAATTAAGTAACCAAACCAAAATATGATACCCAAAAAGCCATATAGTATTTTTGCCATAATCAAGAACCCTAAATTCTTTAGTTTGAAATTTTTATGGCCTTCATATAAATATATAACTCGGTGTAATTTTCCAAATAAGTCTAACATTTTATCACAGGAATAACTATGGCAAATATTACACAGTAAGACCATTTTTCTTACAATATTCAACCATGTAAATGGGGTGCAATATTAGAATCAAGAACTCAAAAGACATAATTACTCACTTATCATCAGCATGCTGCTGGTATTGTTCATTTCCTTCCGGAAGAACCTGAGTCATCTTGTCCATTTTTGGCCCATCTGGTTTATAGTAACCACAAAGATGAATACTGCAAGGCCCAATTACGGAGAAAATAACTTGTTCAACTTCCTTGAATTTCAGTTTCAATGACTCAGTAGTTCCAGGATACAGAGAACACACACATAGGGCTCCTATTTCCAACATTACACTGCAGTGTGCTTTTTGCTGTTGCAGTGCCCAATCCCACAGTGGCCTACAATTATTTTTTTGCATAAGCTATTATCAGTAATAATATAATTGCAATAAAATCAAGAGAACAACACTGCAAACACTATTACCGTTGAAATACGAAGGCGTCCTTTCAAGTCATTGTGTTCAAGAGTAAAAGGCTTTCCTGGTTTTACTTCAACACCTGAAAATGAATCAATCAATGAATCAATAAATGAAACAATGAATAGTAGTTAGTTCAACACAGAAATGCATAAACAACTTTCTTACCCCAAAAATTCATGTCTCCTTCACCGATGCAAAACCCTAAACCCACAAATGAGGGCAAAAAAAATTAATTTATTACTTTTTTTAGTAAAAAATTATGAATAAGTAGTCGTTTTGCAAAATATTACGAATCTAGCACTCAAACACGCTCACATGGGACGTGTTCTCATGGAGAGAGACACGCCCATGTGGGGCGTGAGCTACTGAAGGGGACACGCCCAACGTAGGGCATGTGTGGCGGGAGAGAGACACGCCCCTGATGGGCGTGTTCTCCGTGGTCTATATATATGGGTTTTTCACTTTTTTTACCTCATTTCCACTCTCCCATCCTCTCTCTAGACCTCCTCCTCCTCCTCCTCTCTACATTTCTTTTGGAGGATTTTGCGCAGCGAAGTTTTGTCTCTCTCTCATGTAAGTCCCTATTTATTGTTTATTTTTTTATTAACAACAATTAATATATGATAGTTATTAGTGACTTAGATAATTGTTAAGGGGTTAGAAAAATATTTGTGACTTTATTTAATTGTTAGGGGGTTAGAAAAATATTAGTGACCTATGTAAAAGATTGTGATGTGACTTAGGTATTAGTTATGGACTTAAAAATTAATTAGTTACTTCTAAATTGGTATATGTTGGTTTTATGACTTATTTACACACTTAGAAATTAGTTTGTGACAATAAATATTTTTTTATGAATGACACTTGCAAACATATTGACCTTTCAATTAAACACATTATAATTAGGGTTTGTAAAAAAAGAATACCGTATGCAATATTAATTTAAATTGAATTTGAATTATTTAATGTATTGAAATATATTTTTAGAATAATGTAATGTTGAATGAATTAATTGTCAATGATGTTAATTTAATTGAAATTAATATAACAATTGAAGTTAGTTAAATGCTATTTAATTAAGTGCAATTAAATTGTATTTAGTGTAAATTAATATAATATGAATAGTAATTTGGGTACATCTTTTTCATTTGTAGTAGTATTCTACTATGGCCCATTCGTCTTCATCAGAGTCCTCGCGCTCTAGATCCGATGGTGATCTTGAGCCATCCGATCCTTGTACGCATGTACTTCCTGGCCCATATAGGTGGAGGTACTCCGTAAGAGGACACAACGCAGTCACGTTTCACAAGTTGTGTGGAACGAGGATAAGGTCAGGGGGTTAAAGACGAGGCGAGGGAAACTTCAGGGGGACCCCGTCATGATGATATAGCAGACGTTGTCGCTGAGTATTTGACACAGGCTGGGTTCATACACGTGGCACATATGAGTCATATTCAGGTATGTAATTTTTAAATTACTTAATTAAATTACGTATGTGGACTTTGTATAATTGTTGTTTTTCCTTCAGATAGATACCCCCTTGATCTCTGCTTTGGTTGAGCGTTGGAGACCGGAGACACATACGTTTCACATGACGCAGGGAGAGATGACCGTTACATTACAGGACGTGGCTGGTATACTTGGTTTGCCTACTGACGGGCAGGCAGTTATCGGATCTACAGCGTTGGATTGGATTGCTATGTGTCAGCAGGTTTTTGGGACTGCCCCTGTTGCGGGCACAGACATTCACGGAGGCGATCTACGTATTTCTTACTTTTCTTCACGGTTAATTCGTTTCAAATTCGTGTCATGTTTGTGTTAACAAAATCTGACATGAAAAAAATTCATATCATGTGTCAACCAGTAAACACCAAATTAACCGGCATTAATTTAATTTTTTTCAAATTATTTATGTTGTGTCATGTCAACTCATATTATAATTGAAATTTGGTGTTTACGGGTTGACACATGACATGAATTTTTTTATGGGATGTTATAATTGAAATTGAATTAGTCTGAAAAGGAAAAAAAATTAAAATATTTAAAGGATTTATATAGAAAAAAATAAAGAAAAATTAATTATCAAATAGTCAATAAATTTAACTTTTTTTTTTAATATACAGGACTCCAAAAAGGTTACAACAGACAAATAAAAATTCTTTATAGTATGAATTATTTTTAACTCAATAAATTTAATATCAATTTTTAAAATAGTAACAGTTATATTATTTATTATATTAATTATTATTTAGGATGATAATTAATATTCATGTGGAACGAGATAGATAGAGTGGAATGAGAGACAAATGACCGGTGGCAACATATTTCTGTTACATAATGTTAAATTGAGGATTTGAAATCAATGGTGAGTTATATCTTATCACTTCCACGTAAGAGATGTGATTGTTGAGATGTATATATTTAATAGTATCTAATTTTAATTGGGGTAGCAATTATAAGAATTATTGTAATTAGAATTAATTGATAGGAAATATCAATTATTTGATTTTGGGTTATTTTTTATTACCTAATTTGTGGCTTGATTGTAGACCAAAATTAATGTATATAATTACCTCTCTTAAAAATACAGATTCCATTATTTGACAGATAAGCAACAAGACTGAGAGAATGCCAACACATGGCATCCTGGCATAATGGATGGGTCATGGGACCAACTGAGTTCAATTGTATAAATATTAAAAAATAATTTAAAAGGATTTAAGCGATCCCTTTATTGTGGTTTTTTTCCTACTTACAACCTGTTTGGATTCTCTTATTTTTAAGCTAGAAGCTACTTATAAGCTAAAGCTAAAAAAAGAGCTTAAAAAAAGAAGCTAAAAGCTGTTTGGAAATTACATGAAAATTTTAGCTTAAAATTTACTTAAAAGCACATATTTCAAGAAAATTATCTCTCTCTATCTTTATCACTCTTCATTTAAAAAAAAGCACACAATTCAAGAAAAACTTCAGCTTTTTTCTTCATTATAGAAAAAAGAGCTTTTCATTATAAGAGCTTTTTCCAAAACCTGTTTGGCCTAGCTTATGCTTATAAGTAACTTCTAACTTAAAAAAGAGAGGATCCAAACAGTCACTTATTCAGTCATCTATTCCCAGGTTTCCTTGATTAGATTATTACAGTGCTGAATTTCCTTGACTAGATTATTTCCTTGTATATGTTAGTCACATTCTTTTGCCTAATTGTTTAGCTCTATGTATCCAAAAATGTTGCCCATTAAGGATCAATTAATCTTTTCAAATATTAACTTAGTTTCCTTTTTTAGCATTGCACTTAGACGTGGTCCATAAAAAATAACATTTAAAAAAAAAAAGATTGCACATTTTATTTACTTTCTAACGTTTCTCGCATTTATCCATTTAGATTCTAATGAAAATTCAGGCAGTAATATAGGAATATTTTTCGAATGTGAAATGTTTACCGTTGTTTTTTGTATCCGTCAATTTCAATAGAAGAAACGCCATAACTGATGACCCTATAGTTTGTCAAAGTGACAGTTTCCATTGTGCAATATATTCTAGACAGTATATAGTTGTTTACTTAACCAAACACATCCAAGACCAATATCAGGTTTAAAATATAAAATAGAAAAATCTATATTCGACTATATTACATTGTATAAAATAAAAACAAATTTCCAAATAAAGGTGATTGAAGGTTACATTAGGGACTTACAAGTTACAAATAGAAACATCTCCATGCAGCAGCTACCGGTTTATAAGATCTCCACTTTTTTTTTCTTTATACTCTACCAAACAACATTGATTCAAAAGAGCAATTTTCTAGTTGATTTAGCACAGTTCATTTATAAGTTTGCTGTAAAAGCAAAAATCAAAAATAAAGAATCAAAATAGAGTATACAGGGTATTGGGTATAAACCATGCCCTTGTGGCTGTGCGCTTTGAGTTGGTGCCAAACAGCCAAATTAACGGGACATCACCCTGAGGCCTGAACAGACTAACGAGATATACAGATGTAAGAGGAACAATGGAGACAAGCTGCAAATGCAACAAATTGAAGGTGACTCTGCAGAAGATGCAGCCTAGAGTTAGAAGAGTAATACAGGGTTCATATGAGTGATATGACGGTAATGATGTAATGAAAATAATTACAGAGAACAATTTAAGTAAAGAATCAAGAATATTGGAATACAGAATATAGGGCATTACAGATTATAGACAATCCGCAAGAATGAAGCCGATGTGTAAATGATTGAGAGAGATGCATTGCTAACGATGATTTTGACAGGTGAAATTAGCATTTTCGATTATGATATTAGAGAGAGAAACAAAAAGCATGCAACATTTACCTTCTATAATTTGCTAAAAATAGTTCCTTACAAGGATAATATAGGATGGATGAATCCAGGCAGTTTCAGACTTAACATCTAAAAAAGGAAGAGCAGAAACTTTTAATGTGAAAGAATGGGATGCAGATATACCAACTAGTAAAGGCCCAACATCCTTAGTTCTGTCACATGGCTGGGATCCAGTTCAGGCACATTCTTTACATGTTCTCGATCTTCCACCACATATTCCTGACATTGAAGAGGTAAAGAACAAAGTGAAGAGTTGAATACCTTTAAATTTTTAAAATAAAGTAAATTGATAAAGTCGTTATATGATACAGAATCAATTGTAATCCTTAAATTACACAAGAACCAATATTTAAATGATGCGTTCCCTGAAATTGCATATCTTATGACCAAAATATCTGTTTAATCACGATAATATTACTAGTTTCAACACACTGGTTTTCAGGAGATTGTAAGTCAAATTGATATGAATTCATAAATTAAATAGCAGACCTTTGTCAATTCTTGTTTGGCAAGAACATGGTAGTGGCGTTCATTGATTTTTTGGCCACAAATTATCGCTATGAAGAAGCCATAGAGCAATCCCACCAAAACAATGGCTAGAACTGCAAAATAAAGCAATATAATGAACTTGCCATTGCATATGATAAAGTCATTAGATTAAGATAGCATGCCTGTCGTACATATGCCATTAAGTTCACCAACTAATCGAGAAACTATAACATCCTAGCATGAAATAGTCCCAAGTGAATGAAAAAACCTGCAAACATTGCCCACAAAATTTTTTGTGGAAAAGCAATGGGTGTACCTGCCATTGTATAAAATCCATATGGATGTTCTTCGTAACCAAACATTTCTCTCAATTCATCTCCATAAAATTTGTACACAAGCACTCCCAAGAAAGCAACAACCTGTTAAAATTAGAAAAGGAGAATAACTTAACAGAAATTCTTTCAAGTACATACTTTTAGATAAATTTGCAATACATAGGGCCCGTTTGAATGGGCTTTTTTTAGCCAAAAGCTGCTTTCTTTGGGGAAAAAAAGCAGCTTCTACTACAAAGTCCGTTTGGATGTCTTCTTTAAAAAAAAAACAAAAGTCACAAAAAAGCCCAAAATCTGCTTTTTTTGGAAGTAAAAATTTTAACTTCTAAAAAAAGCAAAAATCAAAAGCCAATTTATTTTATTTTTTCAAAAACCTTTTCAAAATCTAAATATATTTAGCTTTTGTAAAGGCCATTTTGAAAATAAACAAGGCATAAAAAGTCATTTTTTTACAAGCCCATCCAAACAGGCCCATAGCATCCCATCAAACAATCTCTTTGGGTGGGCATGGATCTTCAAAGTGTATTGAATCAACCGCAACCACAAAACTTGAAATCTGAGTCTTATTCCATTACATCCTTTTACACTTTCACTCCATGCTGGTTTGGTTTGGATTAGGTCAGGTGGGATATTTAACATTAGGATCAACAAACTTATAAATTAAAATTGGAGAAGACTTTTACTTTTTTTTATGACACTTCACCCTGATATTTAACCAATCAGGGTTTAGTTTCTGTGAAGGCCATCATAAAGTAGAATAACTCATGATGTTACTGAGATTATAAGATAATTTAGTCACTCATGTATTGAAATGTTATGCCTTTGGAACCAAATCAACTGCAGGCTCTTTATAGGTTACAAGTTTTAACCTGTTACATAATGTGCCATTTACAGCCAAATCACGGAATAAGGATAATATCTAAGGTGGCTTTAACTTCAAATTAGGGAGTCGGAGCGGAGATAAGATACTTGAGTTCTGAGGGGGTTATCCTTCCCTCCCCTCTCCCTCATGGTTCCCAAAAATTAATAATAAATAAAATTTTGCATGCAATTTTTTCGAAGAAAAAAGAAATTCTTCAACATAGCCCCCTCATTTATGGTGTTCTTTCTCTTTGGCTTACCCCAACCAATATGGTCTAGGATCTATAGCTTTTAATGCTGGATTTATCAGTGCAAGTTTCTAGAAGAACTTAGACATGCTAAAAATATTCTATTACCCGGGGTTGTTTCTTTGCGTACAGCACTACCACAAATCAAGAAAACTAATTGAAGAGAGTTTCCATAAAAGAATTTGTTCCGTCAGAGAGGAAAAGTATCAACTGAGATTTCTTCCTAGAATCAGCACAACTTGCACAGCTCATCTTCACATATACAATGTTATAAAGACTACTAGGGGCTACGGCAGCCATCTCTATGGCCAAGACTCAAGAACACTAGACAGGAGAACGGTGAATATAAATAGGACAGAACGTGCTAATTATCAACCAGCAGAAAACTAAAAAGAAAAGAAAGGGCAAAAGTAATGTCATCAACATGAGTACCAATTTCACAATACATAAGTGCGATAATCAATCCCATACCAGTTGAACAATTATGAAAATGAACGCGTGATCCCTGGCAACAAGGAACTGAAATTTTAATCTCAACCACCACCGATCCGGCGGGACATTTGCACGTAATATGAAGACAGCTCTGCACTCTGTACAGTGAGAAAAAGCAAAGCCCTCCTAGTATGACAGAAGGAATGAAGAGTCAGTAAATAAGCATCACAGAAACATAAATATAACAACGGACACCTTCACAGGACCATAAAAGGAACATAGAAGAACATAATAGCAAATAGATAGTTGTACTTCATTTGAATCAGAAACTAATATTATTATGAACACCGAACACCGAGAAGGAAAAAGAAACTTGCCTTGGTAGACCTCCAATTATCTAGACATGATCTGTGGACAAATTTTTGTGTACCTCTGCAATGGCATGGGGCAATTAGATCTTCCCCTAAAAGAATTCATTTAAAAAAAGTTAGTAAGTTGCAGAGTTTGAAATACTCAATGAGATGCAAGTTAAATTGATTGAATTGAAAGGGTGAGTTTGATATATACTATAGATAGAGACCTCCAATATCAAGGCATATCCGGCATTGTGACTGATCTGTATTTACAAGATGACGAGTCTCATCAACATGAACATTCTGTAAATCATCATTGTTGGCAGCAGGAATAATTTCACAGGAGAATGAAGACTCTCCAGATGGTTGTTGGAAATTAAGATGCTGCTGACGACTCAAGATGGGTTCGCTTTCCGAGCATTGTTCCTTGTCATCATCATTTGACGCTAATTGCATTTCGGGAAATGTATAATCAGGATTAAACAATAAGATTCATTGGCAGAGCTATAATTAGTACAGACCATTTCAACACAAGTTAAAAACCTGCAAATTAGGAAGATTTTATCATGACCAAGAGGAGGAGGAGAAGAAGAATAGAGCAGTCGTGAAAACAAACGGAGAGGAAGTAGCAATTAAAATTTTGTAACAACTTAATTAAGTGTTTTTTTTCTAGCAATTAGGGAACGTCCATGTGGCTAAAGAGAGAAGAGGTAGAATATTATATCGTCATAGAAGCAAGATCCAACATGTTTTGGTTGATCTGTAGCTGTTTTGTTTTGTTTTGTTGATCTGATCATCATATTTTTAATTAATTATGAAAACAAAACAAAACAAAAGAAAAGAAAACAATCTCGAGCTAGATGATTGCAGAAAGACTTGGCTTACCTTAATAATAATAATAAGAAGAAGAAGGTAAGGAAAGAAAGAGAAAGACCTGCAACTGCAAGCCAACCCCAATTTTCATCTCATTGATTAGGTCATGTTCAGTTCATCAGTCAATCAATTGAAATTCAAGTTTGAACTTGAATGCCAACCAGCATTCCAATGCAATCCCTTCTTTCCTTGCTTCCTTCGTCCTCCTCCTCCTCCTGTTATTGGTTTGGACATCGGAAGCAAAGCCCATCCAAATATCCAATCCAATAAGGCCCAAAATGGCCCTGGGGTTGGGATCCTCACTCACTTGTTCTTTGTTCTGTTTTATTATATTTAGACTAAATATTTTTTTTTTGTGCTCGGTGAATTTTATTATGTCCGCTTTAATCGTTAGCAAATAAAAAAGTTATTTGTGATTCTGAAAAAACTCAAAATGTGATTCTAAAAAATTCAAAATGAATTAATTAGTTGAAATCGTGATCCTCACACGTTCAAAAAAAAATGAACTTAAATAAATTCATTTTAAATTTGTCAGAGAACTAATCCTATCCGTTCTTGTACACTGCACAAAACAAAATTCCTCCTCTTTTATCCACTCTCTCTCTCTTCGTGTGTCTGTGTTGTATATAAATATACAAAAGGAAAGGGATATAGTAGGTAGAAGATAGAGTTGAATAGAGAGATAGGATAGATGGGAAGGTCGAGAGCAATAGGACAAATCGTAACCCTAGATGTGAGATCCATGAGGTGTCGCCTACTGAATCACAGAAGTCAATCATCTTCATCTTCATCTTCATCGGATCCGCTGATACGGAAGCTGGAAGATGCGATTCACCGCATCATCGTTCGGCGATCGGCTCCTGATTGGCTACCGTTCCTGCCCGGTGCGTCGTACTGGGTCCCTCCTCCACCTTCCCAACCTTCCACTGCTCTCACCCAATTGCTTCACAACTTGGCCAATCCCAATCCCAATCCCATAACAACTCCTCCTCCTCCTCCTCCATCTCATCAATCAGTCTGGCCTTCTTCCTCATATTTCATTCAAGGTTTTTTTTTATCTCCATCTCATCAATCAATACCATAATTTTACTTTTCTGCATCCTTTTATTTATCTTTGTTTTCAGGTGCTGTTTCTCAACCTCACCCACTCGAGCTCGATCCTAATTCCCACTCACAAGATGAGGATGACAACGTTGAAGAATAGTTTCCACTTTCCCAACTCCTATCTGCCTAGGGTACTCTAATATTTCATTTCACCTATGACTTGTAATTTTTACATCTCTTTCAACTTTAACTTTGTTTTTAAATTCTACATTACTCAGAGGTAGAGTCTAGTAAGCCAAGTTTTTATTATTATTATTAAGCAACATTAGATGTTACTCATGGATCGCCTGTTGACTTTTGCAGGCTCATCCAGATCTGTAAATTATATATGCGTTGCATATTTCTTTCTTCAGGAGGAGGATCTGTACAGATACATGCAACTTCATTCCCATGTATAACTGTTTCTTGGTGTTAGTTAAACTTGCCAATGTGATGTACTCGTAGAGGAGATGCTTTTTCATTCTAATGCAATGTATATTATTATTATTATTATTAATATTAATAATATCCTCCTTATTCTTTCGGATTATATTGTCTGGTTTATCTTCTTTTTGGATCCTATTCTGTTTTGTTTTGTTTTGTTTTGTTTTGTTGTATGGGCAACCATTCTATTTCATATTTTGAATGAGAATTGCCCTGTCTGTTACGTTTAGAACCGGACATTGAGGCCAATTGTCCTTCTTTCTGCCTCTGACCATAAAGTATTTCGACTTTGCTGTAACTTTTCAAGTAGAGGAGGAGGATAAGAATGGGTATTCCAGCCGTAGCATAGCTAAATAGAGAAACCAATTGAAGTCAGTTTTGGTACGAATATTCTATTCTATCATAGAAGAAAATCGTTAAATGTGATTTCTACCTAGAATCGGTATCAAATGGTACATTATCTCCGCATATATGATGCAGAACTGCATGAACCCTATTAATTATATAGTCTCCAAGCCATGGCAATGGTCAAGACTCAAATGCTTAATGGAAATGATTGTGGTTGTTCATTTTAACCACCAGAAAACAAAAATATTTATGAAAATGAAACGAACGGATAAAAGTAAAATCATCAGCAACGGCCAAATCTTGCGAGACATGGACATAATCACCTCTCCTTTTGTGCTGGATTTGAGCCCGAGTACTTCGCGGTTGAAGGGCAAGTTCCGAACTAACAAGCTACTCTCGCACTCGTCAAAACAGCGAGACTTAGATATAATCAATTCGATACCAATTGAACAATTATGAATAACGGATGTTTGATTCATGGTGAAAGGAACTAGGATTTTAATCTCAACCACCAACGGTGAGACATTTGCACCATGTAAAGAGTAATGTTGTCTTTTGCATTAGTATATTTTTAATATTCTAAAGGCTATTTTCAATACTATTTTGTACAAATTAATCGCGATTTTGAAATGTCATCTCATATTTGAGGACTCCGCATAACATCTATTATGCATTTATGTCAATTCATTGATATTTATAATGTCAATTTTTTTACAGTTAATTGTCATCATGAGATGAATGAATTTTTTTTAATATTTTTATTATGTACAAGAATTAAAAGTTTCATGTAATACAACCAACAACAAAAGTTTCGTTTGATACAGTTGGTCAAACAGAAACTAATGTCATTTCATAATTAATTCGTTAATCATGTAAAATGAGTACATGACCGTATTTTTATGATCATAACCATCAGAAAGCGAATTCAAAACGATTTTATGTATAATGAACCATTTAAAAGACAGACTTTTTTCATATAAGAACCAAGTTAAAAAAGAGGCATAATATATAAAGACTAAAAAATTAATTTAACTTAAATAAAATCTTCTAAAGAATGTATATTATTTTTTTTAGTCTTAACGGTTTGTTTACGTATAGTAATTAGGTAAATTTCTTTTCTAAACGCATTCAAATTATTAACATTACCAATATCTATTTTAATTTATAAATTAGCTATATAGATAAGAATTGAAGAGTGAAGAATAGAAATCAATTGGTATAATATATATGAAAAATGTTATACTTATTTTTTTTTTCTTACTATCTCTTGCTACTAAATTTTAATTGTTGAGTTTTGTCAATCTAACGTTTATAATTTATTGAAATTTAATAATTAATTAATAAATGTAATTCAATATATTATAACCGTTAAATTGAAGAAAATCAACGATTAAAATTTGATAATAAAAGAGGAGAAATGTTATATTTACAACTTTTTTTTTATAATCTATTACAACCATATCTTTACACCGTTGATTTCTGCCAATCAACGGTTATTATTTTCGCAAATTAAAATCATTAATTAATTATTAATTCATAATAAATGATAACCGTTAATTTCAACAGTATTAAGATATGGTTGTAAAAGATTGTAAAAAAAAAAAGTTATAAATATAACATTCCTCGTAAAAGATAGTAAAAAAATAAATAATAAATATCATTCAATGAAAAATAAAAGAACAGTTGAGGTTAAAATGGGGGCAGGAGCATAAGTAGTTGGATAATTGGATTGAGAGAGAGAGAGAGAGAGGGAGGGGGAGGAAAGGATCATTGATCGGAATGGAGGGGCAAGGACAAGGACAAGGAGAGGGACAGGAGAGACTGAACCAGGCAGTGCAGCAGCAGCTAAACGTGGAACAAGTGAAGACGCGTGCCATGAGCCTCTTCAAAGCCATCTCCAGGATTCTCGAAGATTTCGACGCCTACTCTCGCACCAACACCACCCCCAAATGGTATGTGGTATCTATCTATCTATGTTCCGATTCTTATTTCATGAACTTCAATTTCATTTTCATGAATTTCAATTTGAATTTGAATTTCATTTCCATGCCCCAGGCAAGATATTCTGGGGCAATATTCAATGGTGAACCTTGAGCTTTTCAACATTGTTGACGAAATGAAGAAGGTGTCCAAGGCATTTGTAGTCTATCCCAAGAATGTTAATGCCGACAATGCAACAAGTATATCTATGCTCTCTTTTCCCTTTCACTTTCCATTTCAAATCTATAACTATTCATCTTCATTGCAATTATAGTACTACCTGTTATGCTCTCCTCAAAACTACTCCCTGAAATGGAGATACATGACAACTCTAAGAGAGATCAATTGCTTCAAGGGATGCAAAACCTTCCAATTGCTACTCAAATTGATAAGTTGAAGGTCATTTCCATTTCCATTTCCATTTCCATTTCCAATTCGACTTCATGTACCGTACCACCTACCTTCTCTTCATTCATCATTCATCGAGTCCATTCTTTTTTCTTTTTTGCAGGCTAGACTTGATATGATTGCAGTAGCCTGTGAAGGTGCTGAAAAAGTCTTGGCTGACACTCGTAAAGCCTACTGCTTCGGAACTCGTCAAGGCCCGTCCATTCTCCCCACTTTGGACAAGGGTCAGGCTGCCAAAATTCAAGAACAGGAAAATCTACTCCGAGCTGCTGTCAATGTTGGTGAGGGTAATGCTTTTCACTTTCATCTCCTGCCTTATGCAAAATCTATTTACACCAGATTTCCTCGTGCTTAATTATTTCTTTTGTCTTATTTTTTTTATACAATAATCATGCTTAAATGTCAAGGGATGATGCCGTGACGGGGATGGCCTAGTAAAATGACTTAATTTGGGATTAAAGTCTTGCACCCCGATAATTTGTGATTAGTACTTGTAAGTTGTAACATTCTCATCAGCTTTATGTCAATACCGTTCTACTTTAACCCAGGATGAAATCTAAAAGCAGCTACCCTAGTTGACGTATCAATCAGTTGCATTCATTTCTGTTCTGGTATTTATGCTTCTTGTTGTGTTATTGTTTTCTTTGTAATCTAATTTAGACAAGTTATGACCTACTTAAAAGCCCCCAAACCTGCGCATGCCAACAACATAAAGTGAAGGGGGCAGAGAGGGTGGGAGGGAGAGAATTTTCCGCACTGACAAGGTAGGAGATGGTTATAACACATTTTTATAATAATATGAAGGAAGAAAAAGGCTCTTCAAAGTTGATGATTTTCACTCCAAATTTATGTAGCATCCAGCTTTGGATCAATAGCATCATCTCATTTTATTAAGAAATCTGGTGGCTGTTGTTCTACATACATATTGAGATCCAAAGTTGCTTTCATAAGGATGATTCTGCTATTGTACACTGTTTGCATTAGATTTAGTGTATTTTATAAGGACTTGATTACAACTTACAAGAAGGTGTTTTTTGCTAGCTTATTCTGAAGAAAGCTTTTGTTTGTTGAAACTCAATAAACCTCCATATCAATCACTCTCCTATTGTGCTTATTCTTTATGATGATCAACATCAACATTTGGATAAAATGGAACTGCATGCAGGATTACGGATACCTGGAGACCAGAGGCAGATTACTCCTGCACTTCCAATGCATTTGGCAGATGCACTTACTGTTAATGAGGGTGGACAATCTTTTCCTGATGCATCTGGTAATAGTTAATCATTCTTAACTCTTCATGTAAAAAATATTGTGGATCTTACCATTGGATTTTATCATTCTGGCACTGTGTGGCATTTATAAGTATTACTTTCAGGTGTGTATATGAAGAATACCCAACTGCCGTCAAACAGCATGGGCGGCCAGAATTCGTTGTTGCAGGTTAGGTCATTGACATTTACATGAAGGTTTTATATCTGGATATTCAATTGTATATTCAAATATCTTTTTTTCTTTTGGCTTTTCAATATTGTAGATAAAGGGTATTTGTGGTTACATGTGCTTTTGGATGTTCTTGATTTAACATTATTTTGCTTTGCATATTCAGTATCTTGTTTGAAATGTCCCTGTGCTATACTCTCACATTTTATTGTTAGACTTGGGAACCCAGCTCATCCTTTTTAGTTTGAAGGAAATTAGACTTTGTTTGACTGCAGAACTACTATTGTGACGCTACATGGTTGATTTCTCATTTAACCTTATTTGGCCTTCTCTATTTGATATTTACCTTTCATGATCCCTCTGTACTGACGAACTTTTAAACCCTTGGGATGAGAACTAGTTACTTCATTTGGTGGTTTAAAATTTTGAATAATATGAATTCTTCTAGTCGCATTTTCTTTTAAAAATATCTAAGACTGCGTACAATCAGTCCTCACTCCAATCTGCACAAAGTCGGAGAGTCTTTGTGCTCTGGGGTTTGCCCTTCTCACCTAATATTATTAATGTAGAACTCAGGATCACAACTTTTGGGAAGATCAGCTGCATCTCCTTCTGCTGCAACCAGCACCACTTCTTTTGATAATACAACAGCTTCACCAATCCCATATGCCAATTCTCCAAGGTCTTCTACAAATATGATGAATACACCGTCCCCTCAGCAACAAACCCCACAACAGCAGCAACAGCAGCCACCAGCACAGCAGCAGCAACGGCAGAAACTGATGCAGTTACCTCAACAGCAGCAGCAACAACTTCTTGCTCAGCAGCAACAGTACAGGCAATCTGCAATGCAAGGGCTGGGACAGGTAAAATTTTCAAGTTAAATATTCTGCATTGAGTGAATATATCGTTGAGTTGGCCTAAAGGACCAGTTATAATATATTATACATACGGTTCTTGACTTCATTAAGTCTGATAATCATTTTGTGAACTAGCAACTCACTCTAGAGCACACGTAAAAGGTTGTTTTCAATATCAACTTTTGTATTGCATGCATTGATTAGTAAAGTTGAGAGAGAGAGAGAAGAAAGAGAGAGCTCTGAAAGTGTATTGTATGTATTGATTAGTAAAGTTGAAGTTACAAGCACACGTGCTCTATTTGTAGAGCAGTGGAAAGCTGACTCAGCAATGAGTCACTAACTAAACCCTATCAGAGAAACCGAAATGAGTTACAATCTAACCACATCTCTGAACTAACCAGTAGACAATAATCTACTATACACAGGGTAATTATATTACAATGAACTAAGGTAAAACGGTAAACAGTACAGTGAATAGTAATCTAACTGCCATGAATACGTACATGGACACATTAGTGGCAAACTTGGTCTTATTTCTAGTGTGTTCTCTTCTCTTTCTTGGCGGTAATAAGCTTTGCTTTCTTCTTCAGTTGCATGGGCAACATCAGATGCAATTTTCTCAACCACTTGGGCATCAGCAATTTCAGGGTAGGCAGCTTTCTTCAGCACATGTTCAGCATGCCATTGGTCAAAGCCAACTGAATCAAGGAAATCAAATGACTCGTTTAAGCCAGTTTTCTGGTCCTGCTAACAGTGCGTTATTCAGTGCTGCTCAAACGACACCTAATACGCAAATGGTACGATATTCATATAATATAATTTAATTGAATAGTGGATATGTGTGTGTGTGTGTGTGTGTGTGTGTGTGTGTGTGTGTGTGTGGTAGGATCATTTTATACTATTGTAGTGTGATTATGTGCACTTATTCATGTAATCTTCGCTGTTGAACCTCTTTATATCTATCCCTGTTTGGAAAGATCAATTTTCTTTATCTTTGATGATGTGCTGTTGTCGTGTTTCTTTGTGCTGCTCTTACTGTTACTGTGCTTCTTCAACAATTACATCTATGATGATTTTTCCTTCATAATCTCAGATTCCAAACATTTCAGCCACAATGTCTTCACAGTCCCTTCTACCACGGGTGCAGGTTTGTCTTTCATGTTCTCTGACCATGGTGTATTCCCAATAGGTCTGATTGGTTTTATTGAAGTGTAAATTTCATTGGATTAGAATGAAACAAGAAGAGAAGTCAAAGGAACTAATGGTGAATGATCTATCTATGATGCACTGGTCATGTTTGCTAACTAGGTTATTTAGTCCTTGTAGAGTTTAGTCACTTTTTTGTTTTAACTCCCTCCATGCACGTTGTACTTCGGATGATTAAAGGCTATCGGTATATCATTGAATTATAATAGAAACGTAACTTTTAGGGGTTGTTCTGATTTGCAAATTTATGAATGATAATTTAATTTTGGCAATTTTTTTATTGTCTTGTATTTTTTGAAATTTATGACAAATAATTTTCATTATGATATCTTTCATTTTGTGTAAGGGTCAGCTGGTCTTCACTCTTCCCTGGCACTCACTCCAAGTTGGCTATTTTTAAGACAAAATAATTTATATCATACGTTTATTTTTCTTTTCACTGTCTGTATAGTTGTCTCGGCTAGCTTTTCGGTTAACCTTAACCTTAAATCATATGATGATAACATATTAATACTTGCTCCACATTTTTCATTTACTCAGTTCGGATCATCTGGAAACAACCCTCAGCGAAGTCATGCTTCCCAAATGCTGAGTGATCAGAGTATGAACTTTATTCCTCAATGTCTTCAATTCTTTTTTTTTTCGTTAGTTAATTGTAGAATCGGGTGTGTTTAATCTGCCCTCCTTGAAATGGTTGTGATGCAACCTGAGTATCATTTATTCTATTTTCTGTATGTATGTGTGACTAATTGCTGAATCATCGCCGGGGTTTTACATTGCAGTGTTTAACATGGGAAGTGGCAATCCTGGTGGTATGATGCCCATGCAGCAGCAGCAGCAGCAGCAGCAGCAACATGCTTCACAAGGTGCATTTGGTAGCATGGCATCAAATACTCAGCATTTGCATTCTGGTATGGTGACACTTCAGAACACACAACAGAATCATCCCAATTTCTCTCAACAGAGACAGCAAAATCAACAGTGATTAGTACTCTGGCATTGTTGGGTCTAGTTTAGAAAACTGAAAGGAACCATATTGCACCAGAAATGGTTCATAAAAACTGAACCATACTTTCTTATTTTTATTTTTTGGGTTACCAAACTCATTTGGTGTTAGGTGGTAAGATTTGAGAAGATGATTTAATATGAATCAAAGAACTGAAAAGCAAAAGAAAAGAAAAAAATAGAAAGATGGAATGAATGTTATTAAAGAATCAAAGCTGTAGCCTCTTTCACTGGAACTCTCTCCACCATCGTCTTTCATTGTCTCTGATTTTACACCAGCTTCAATTTTCAGCAAATTTTTGTTTCTGTGGCTGCACGAGGGTATAAGGTAGTTGACTTAGGATCCTACTGTGGAAGGGCTGTTTGAATGTCTAGTGCCTATAATTGCTTCGGTTAATTGCAGTTAACTGAATTGTGTCTGTGCAGCAATTAATCAAACCATTTCAAACTAAGATAACTGGATTAAATATAAACTTGGTTTAATTGCATTTTTAATTCCTCTATAATGATTAATGTGTAATTTTGATGCTTTAGTATTTTTTATGTTTGAATTTTAATTTGTTTAACTGTTGCAATCAAGTCTTTTCATTATTTATTTTTTTTAACAAAATTTCTTAAATTTTCATTTTTTAATTCAAATAATTTGGGGTTTAAGAAGGATTTGGGATAGAAAAATGATTTGAGCGGTTGAGGAAATGAAAATTTGGTGAAAATGATGAAGTTTGAATTTTATTTTTTTTATTTTTGCAAGAAGTAAGGTTAGGGTTTTGAAGAGGAGAAAATTTTCGGATTTTTTTTCAGATGGAATTTGATGATTTGATTAATGGATTTTGAGCGAAAGGGAATTTAAAATGGTTTTGATGGTTTAGTTTGTAGAGATTTTAAATAACAAGTGAGGATTTGAGGTTTTTAGATATTAATAAATCACGAGAGGACATGGTAGTAAAAAATTGAAGAATTAAATTTGAGTAAAAAATTATTTGAAGGCTAAAATCAGGCATTAGCTTATTAAGTGTAATTAAGTCTATAAACTTACTTGAACAGTTAGATTTATTATGAGGTGGTTTATTTCATATTAGTGTTCAGTTCGAAAAAAATTTCCCCACCTCTTGGTCAGTTACATTATGCTTGCATAAATGCATTACAAGTAGGGGTGTTAATCGAGCCAGGAGCCTTTCAGGGGATTTTGGCTCAGCTCGTGAAGACTTGAGCTTATATGTCTAAAATTGATTGTTGGTATCAGGCTTGAACTTGTATAAAAGCATGTTTAATAAAAAAGCTTCAGGTTCCAATTCAAAAGCTCGGCCTTAGAGCCTCCCAGGCTGATCTAGTATATTACTTTTTATTTTTATTTTATATTTTTTATACTTCTTGTAATAGCTTTCTATTTCTCCTCAATCCATTTCACTCCATTTTATTAGTTAAATAGACTTTTTAAAAGATTTTATTCTATATTATGTTGTTTGGATATACATTGAATTTATGAATATTTATGGAATTACTAGTGTTGTTGATTGTATGTTATGTTTGTTTAAATTTTTGTTGTCTTACTTTTTTTAACAGACTAAATAAGACTTTTATTTTTTGTAAATAAGTCAGACCACAGCCAATAATTATATTTATAACAGGTAACAGGCTGACACATTTAAACACAGGCTTAGTCTTTTAAGACCAAAGCTCGGCTCGGCTCAGCTCAGTCCGTTAACACCCCTAATTACAAAGATACAAACATACATTATAATTTAGAAATTAATTGCTGTGAAGAACATAAAAATGGCTGCTTGTTTCAGAATTACCATTCATCCTTTTAGGGGCGGTAATTGAGATCCAATTCTACCATTGTTCGCTGTGTTTATTTTTTTATTACCAAACCCCAACATATACGAATGTATTGCTCTCCCTCTTCCCCCTCTACTCCACTTGTCCTTTCTAAGTTGGAATCCGTTATTACTAATAATATCACCGTATAATACAATGACTGACATTTTGGCCAAAATTTAAGTATTTCAATTCAATTATCATTGATTCTATTGTGTCAAAAAAATATCCATTTACTCTGGTGAATAAGATGCTTTGGCATTCTAGATGTGTACCTTTAAAATGACCTTATCGTTGAAATACATAAAATGTTCATGAGCTCAAACAAAATAAAAAAGAGAACGAGCCTTTTCTGGCTAAATCAACACTGAATGTCACAACTGCAAAAAAGGAGTGCGAAGCACACTCCCTCATACCTCAAGAGAGAGAGAGAGAGATTATAACATATAAACATCTACTGGTCTGTTAATTGCTCAATTGTACCTGAATTCCTTTCAATTTTTCCCAAAAAACAAAAAATTGTTAAGGAGTTTGAATGCGTCAGCAGACAGGTTAGATGTTGTTTGAGCAGAAACTAATGCCTAAATAATAACAATAAAAATCTTTGGGAACAAACTCTACTGAACACTGCTTTGAATCCTTGAGCTGTTCTGTGGCGTTAGGAAGATTCAAAGAAACTTGTTACAGCAACTGCAACATCTTTGTGTAAACCATTCCAACCTGTTCTTACTCAGTGAAGAAAAAAACAAAAGGTGGTTAATTACACTTCAACTCATCAAGAAAAGAGGTTGAAAAACACCCTTTTGCATTTGACTGGTGGGTGTCTGCTTAGATACTCCAAGAAATAATTAAGTGTCTTTGGAATGAAAGGAACTAAAACTACCAGTCAAGAAACTTGCAAGTTCCAAGTGAGGTCATTGTTATGCGGGTGGGATTACTTGCACTAATCTAGGACAAGTGGATTATTCTAAATTATCAAATAATTCATACTCTCAGTAAAACAATGATAATTTGTTTGTTGTTCACTTATTTCTTTTTCCCACATGCAGTGGCGGAGCCAGAAATAAAATTCAACTGGTGCCAAAAGACTCGATCACATAGAATTCAGCCGATGCCAAAGTTGTATTATTTATAAAAACTCAACTAGTGCTAAAGTTGTACCATAATTTTTAAAGAAAAATTATACCATTTTTAAAAATTAGCTGGTGCCAAGGCACCACCTGATCAACGAGTGGCTCTGCCACTGCCCACATGTTTATCAAAAGTTAAACGTTGTATTTAATCATATGGCATGCAAAATCAATTTTTATTCATGTATGTTCAATTGTCAATTGTACTTCCATGTAAGTATATAAAAGAGAAGAGGACACTTACAAGTCCTTGATGCATGTGCTCTTGGAATCCAATCCTTGAGGATCTTGGCGATCCAAAGAAAATACTGATGCCACATTAGGACTACCTAATGTCTTGTTCAGAAGGGGAATATTCTCAGCAGATGTGTGGGTGGAAGGAGCTAAGGAGAATGGTGGGGAAGGAGATGAAGAAACTGAGAAGGAGTATCTGCGGTTCCCTGGTCCAAAACTAATGGGAAGTGGAGAGGGAGGTGTAGGAGGTGATGATGTTGGAGACTCCCACCCAAAATTCATATTAATCACTATAATTCACAAACTCACTCCTTCATTTCATTTGCTTCTGTTAGAAAATTTCTCTGTCCATTGTCCAAGTGGTTTTCCCGGACTATTTTTAAAACAATAATAATTGCATGAGTTTTAGGTATAACCTAACGGTCATATGCCAAATTACCACCAAGTACCAACCATCAGCTACTCATTCCTTTCTTGGGCACTTGAGAATCATGCAATCAAACCTTACTTGAGTTTGACTTTCAGCTTGGTGTTAGTTTCTTAGCCCTCCTTCCATTAATTACCTTTCAGTCTGAAGACACCATCCTTAAATATCATTTTAAAAGCAGAGGTTCCACATGACATTTTTTGCAGCATATTAAGATTGCTTTTCTTTTCTTTAGTTTTGAGAATTCCCAAAAATAAGAAGCTTAATATGAAAATATGTATCATAACAAAACAAGATGTTAACCGCTTTAGTTATTTTAAAGTTTAAACAATGTAAGTCAACACATAATTTAAGATTCAAGTATTACATCCACTTGCCAACGGAGGCGACAAGATCATCCCTCTCCATAATCATTGATTTTTCCCCCACCTTTGCATTTGCAATTGTCACTTGGGTGTTTAATATGATAGTTCACTTTGATACTCCCTCTAAATAATGAAGTATAGTATTACTTGATTTTGTAATTTTTAATTTTGAACAAAAATCTTGTAACTTTTTTAGTTGACTTTGTAACTCTTCCTTGTAAATTTTTTCATGAATATATCTTTTTATCAGAAACCTTAAAAGTGTTGAATGAGAAAGGCCTCACTTCAGTTTTCTAAGCAATTGTTCAAGCTAATTGAATTCACAATGTTGTGATCATGAAACAATACTCAGCTTCAAGCATTCAATCTGGCAACTATCTCTGACATCATATCACATAACCAACTTTTCCAACAGCTTATTTCGGAGTCACGGGAATGATTCATTATATCTCTTAAAATGCTCCATCACACGAAATCCTTTTTTGTGTTCCAAGTGTTAATAACCCCAGGCTCATTCTTTATTTTTTATTATCTTATGCTTAAATTCAACTTTTTAACTGATAAATGAAGACGGCGAAAATCAAAATCTAGACCACATGATCATAGGCTCTGATATTATATTGAATGAAAATGAAACGAATGACATTTGATGGAATCCTGTGATTAAGATATACAGCGGAGACACTATTATAACTAAATAAAAAGAATTACAAATTCCCTCACTCTAAACTATTCTATTTACAACGTCTTCACCCCCGGTGAAAAAAGTGACAGAGAGAAAGAAAAAATTGTAACCAAGAGAAAGAGAAGTTACAGACCCCCTCATCCGGTTCACTTCCTAGTTCCAATTTCATTTTAAAATTTCCAACACAAAACATGAACTATTTGGTAATACTTGAGGATCTAACTCTAAAAGACGGCGAAAATGAACTGAGATACCGGAAATTTTATATAGGTGTTGCAGCCTACACAAGTTGAGAATTTTCACAAGGTGGGTGGCACATACGTACCAAATTGAAAATTCTGATTACAAACAAGCCTTCACAAACCCTGTATTTCCAGTCTTCAGATTGTGCTGCTTCATCCATTGATCAGCATCATCACCCATCAAACTTCCAATTCTAACACACCAGATGACAAAGGTGTTTTAACTGTATCCAATACAAACCAAACATAAATATTTGAAAGTTTTTAAATTCGGCTCATGTTCACAAACAAAAAGTTCTGCAATATCACAATACACCTCCTCACAAATTAATCATCCACGGATCTAGAAACAATTATTATAACAATGTCCATCTTTTTTATCTCAGCAATTAGCAAACACCCATCACAGATCTTAAGTCATATAGTCCTAAGGACTAATTAACGCTTAACTGATAAACTAAGGGATTCTACAATATATGGTTAAGTACTCGAGGTTCACTCCCCCAAGTAAAAAGGTATTATGAAACAAAATGCTCAAAAAAGCATATTATTACAGAGTATTCTCCCTTGAAATCAGCTCCCTAATAAAAAGGCAACTGATGGTTGATAATTTTAGCATTGTTTACAATTTCATTATACCATAAGATATCCATAACCAATCTGAATCAGAGGAAGGAAATATATAGGTTAGCCTCACGTGGCAGAGTACTCCTAATCATAAGGAGATTCGTAGTGGTATTTGGTTGGCTCTGTAGAACAACAGAACCATAATATAGGAATTGAGGGTCCCTTTTAGACTCCAACGAAGTTAAAATTGGGAACCAAGACACAAATTTCCTAGATGGATCCCAATACCCATACCATGTTGTCACAATAAGCACATTTGGTAAAGGAACTCTGGAATAAACATGTAGTTAAACAACAAATGACCTAAGCAACTTTGGATTAAATTCAATGCTGAACACATGAACCTTCCCAGCTGCGCCCATGGCACAAATTTATCATTATTACTTAGTCAGGGTGTACAAATTAATCAATATAATTTTGTTAGGCACTAGTAGAAACCAAATTACAAGTCAAAGATTAGTTCACTACTCCCAAATTCACTAGCATAAAAGCAAATACATTTTACTTTACAACATAACAAGAAAACTTGACACCTTGCGTATGAAATAACCTTATCAATCTAACGGAAATTCATCAAAACAGCCAGCAGCTAAACTGAAGACACCATTTTCAAGTAATTATAACCTTCAAGCAGATATAAGCATTAAAGAACTTCCAAGACTACAAGATAATAAAGCAAATAGAAAATTTATTCATTGCAAGTAAATTCAGACTGCACCTGGAAGATTCAAACGTCAATGAAGAAGGTAATATTGAAAGTATCCCTTGCAACATCATCTATGAGCAGTGTAACAAAGCATGCAATCTGATGTAACACAAAATGATGAACGCATTAAAAAAAACTCTGCCAACAGCCCAACAATTCAGTCTTCGTTTCCACAAACATCGAAAATTGTAATGAAAGCTTACATTAAAAAACTCAGAATGTATTTAGAGATATTATACCTTTCCCCAGCCTTTTTCACACTATCTTATTCAAGCTTGTGTGAAGATAATACATTGAAGATGATGGATCCATAAACAATACAACTGCTTTCCCGCTGCCTTCCTTGTGCGTAAACCATTGGCAAGAGACAATGACTGCATGGAAGCAGTAACTTGTTGGCCATACTCACTACAGTAATCAGAAGGCAGGCACTTGCATGGAATACGGACCTTCCTTCTTCAGAGTAACCTAATTAACAAAAATAAACATCAAAGAACATTAGTCTGGAATGTGAAAACAAAATTAAAGGCTTGCTACATAACAAAAGTCATGCAAACAATGATAAATACATATTAATATTATCAAACTTATCATGCTATATTCCATCAGTAGAGTTTCAATCAAATACGTCAGTGAAAGATGTCACCATTGAACCAAATGCATGCAATCTTGCTGAAAGCATGCCAAAATCAAGGACCAAAAAATCACAAGATCCAAAGAGATACAAGCGCTCCAAGAAAATATAATGTTGGCTGGAACATGATAACATCCATCCCCCCCTTCCCTTCCCAGAAAAAGATGATAAAAATACAAAAAAAATATATAACTTATACTAATTATTACCAGGGTGGATCGATTACTGAGTTTCATGGTATAGAAATTGAATGAACCCTTAGAGCAGAAGTGGGATACATGGAAAACATAAGAGCTCAACAAACTGAAGCAGGTACATCAGACAGATCTTCAGAGCTGGATGAATCGAGAACTAGGTTCCTTTCCGTATTAGCTTCCACATAATGTTCATATTTTGCTTGTACACCTTCAACATGCCGGTCAAAGCTTAAGGAGTGCAACGCCTTGGCAGATAATAACCCCAAATCTCTCATCTCAACCAACAAGTTTAAAGCTGAAAGATAAGTATCCGATCTCCATGGAAATTTACATAGGTTAAAGAAATTTCTGTCACTCAGTTCTATCCTTGAATCAATCATCTCTTGTAGCATCTGCTTCATCCTTTGAAGATCTTCTTCTTTACAAAAAGTGAGAAGCATCATATTACATGTATGAACATTAGGTTTCAGACCATTATCCTTCATCTGGTCATACAATGTGCAAGCCTCTTGAGTTCTTCCGCCTCTAAGAAGTGCACAGATACCAACTGCGTATGCTACATTGTCAAGTGGATATTTCTTCATCACCGCTAATCTAAAAACACTGGAAGCCTTCTGATACTTACCAGCCTTTAAAAGCTCACTTGTTATTACAGTATGGATATGAGCATCAGTATCACAATAACTCATAACAACACCACGGTACACATTAACTGCTTCGTCAATTCTTCCCGCAGCACAAAGTCCGCTAAGTAACCCAGCAAAACTATACTTATCTGGCGCAAAACCTTCATCAATCATATGATTATAGAATCCAACAGCAAGAGACGGAAGCCCAGCCTTAAGAAAAGAGCTTAAGAGCGTATTACAGAACACTAAATCAGCATCTGTATGTCTGCAGGCTAGAACTAGTTCGGGTAAGAGATAAAACATTCTAGACAGACATATTGTAGATAAAAATGAACTAAAGGTATAGGAATCAGGTTTTATGTTATGTTCTGACAAAATGAGAAAAGCTCGAATTGCATCCTGGTACCTTCCAACCTTTGAAAGGCAATGAATTAAAACATTACAAAGAATCAAATCTGGAATTTGGCCAGCAGATAACATGATATTTAACAAATGAAAGGCATCATTTACCATGTTGGATTCCATAAATGCCTTAATTAAGGTGGTATAAGTGACAACATTAGGAGAACAACCGGTTTGAGCCATATTGTGCAACAGATTGGTAGCAACATCAAGTCTACCCAATTTACAGTACTTATGGATGAGTATAGTCCAAACACTGACGGAGAATTTGATCCCCAAAGTGATCATGAGACCCAACAGTTGATATGCCTCCAGTAAAGCATTGGTGTTACAGAAAGCATTGAGAAGCATATGAAATGTGAGGGCATTGGGATAATAGCCCATCCGCAACATAAGTCTAAGAATATAATTGACATGAGTGACGTCATTTAACTTGGAGAGATGAAGAAGGGCAATGTTAAAGGTGAAGAAATTAGGTGGATGAGTGTGTTGGAAAACCCTCAAAGCGAGATAGGGTTGGCGAATCCTAAATAGAACATCCATAATCAAATTACGAGCAAAGGTGTTAGGTACAAAACCGTAAGCTTCCATGTGGTGATAAGCATCAAAGAGCATGGAATGCATACCTGAACGCCAATAAATCCTCAACAAGAGCAAGAAGGATTTAGGGTTTGTGAAACGACACCCAATGTTCTCCAACTGCAAGATAATAGCTTGGACGGTTTTGTAACGATGAGTGAGGCGACGAAGCACAGGGACCATTCGATCAAAGTCCTGAAATTGATCGTGCCGTTGGCCAGACCACAAGAACAATGAAAGAGCAATCAAATCAGATGGGCACCTAGACAAAGTGGAATCCACACTATCACTGTTCAAAACCCTTTTCGTTTTCGTTTTCGTTTTCGTTTTCGTTTTCGTTTTCTGGGGAAAGGGAAATTGCCAACAAGATGAATGGCGACACAAACACAAAACACAAGTCAGTGTTTGTGATCTCAATCTCAACCTCCATGTCCATGTCATTTCCTTCAATCAAATTCCAAAACTATCATTTCCTCAAAACCCTAATTTTATACTTACCAACAAGTACAACCAATTTTTTGGTCTGACTCTGAGAATATCTCGTCCGTCCGTTCATCTAGATCTGATGTAATGATAACATTGATAAGTAAAGAGTGATAAACTAAATAAGTTGACACTTCACACCTCACAGTAAGCATAACTTCATATTCATACAACATCGCTATTAATTAGGGGAAAAAGGAACTTCATGCTGTTAAAAAGAGTAACCCAATTTCAACTAAAATTTGTAAACGGAGAAAGATCTTTCTCCGTATCTTGGTGTAGTGAGAAATATCATCAGATACTTTTCATACTAAAATTTGGCTTGTACAAATATTATATTTATGTTTTTCATAGATATTATATTTACTAAAATTATAATTGTAATTAGACTTTTGTTGAAATAAATTTTGATTTGTAATAAAAAATCATATGAATTGAATAACTTACTCTCCATTTTAGCAGTTGATTTTCGATCATATGATAATTATAATTTATTTAAAATTAATATGTATAACTTAATAAATTATAATCGTCGTATGAATGAAAATCAACAATTGAGATGAGAAGTAATATTTCTTAATGTTATATCGAAATCAAAAGATCATCCTCTAATTTATAATAGCCAATGTGGATTGGGTTAATTTGTATTAACATACTACTAAAGTTAAAAACTTGTAAAAACATTAACGTACATATAAGAGAGGGGTGGCATCTTTAGACTTTGATCATTTCTCTTTTCTCTAAACATAGGTCACTATTGTATCTTACGATAAATCTATTTATATTTTAATTAAATAGAAAATATAACTAAATAACTGTCACTCATAAGGGAAATATTAGATATTAGGCAGAAAAAGTATAAATTTATCTTTCCTTTTTTTTTTAATACAAAATTTATCTTTTCTTCCTCCAAATATACAAGCATTTTCATTTTTTTTATTTTTTTTTTGGTATAAAAGGCATTTTCATTTTAGTTCTTAAATTTTTTTGATTATTAATTTAATCTCCTTGTTATGCGTAATGTCATCAATTTAGTGTTTTTTTCAAGAAGAGAAATTAGCGTAGTAGAATTGTAATTTCAAAATAAATTTAATAATATTTTGTATGATTGATTAACTAAATTAATTATGTATGACATTATTGAATAACTAAATTGATATCAAAAGTTTTTTTAGAACCATTATTATGAGACCCTGCAATGTTGAGAATGTCATCCGCGGTCCTTTCTATTTGTCAGTGTAGATACTATGCTGATCCACAATAGCTGTTGTCTCTAAAGATTGATAAAAAAATTTTGAGATTTCATCAATTAATCGATTAATTCAATTGAAAGGAGTTGAATTATAAAAATAATAAAGTTTTTTTTATTAAATTTTTAACACAGCTATTTAAGGAAGTGATCTTGTTGCCTTTAATGGAATTCCAAATATTTAATTTTGACCAAGGCTTTCTAGTACTAACAGATTTCTTTATTTTTTTTCTTTTCATATTTGATTTTATTTTACTTTTGTCTTTGTTTCTTTTGGGAAGTTTGCAACTGTTTTTAATTTTTCTTTTGGAAGAGGTTTGAGGAAGGGGGTTACAGGTAAAATCTGCAGTCTGTCTAACGGCGTTATTTGACAGCCAGCGAACTAATGTACTAATTTTTAAATATGCATACCAGTAGCAAAATTTTATCAACGAAGAGAATTTCGTTTCATTTGTAATTTCAAAAAAAAATCGTCGACTTTTTATTTGGAACAATATTGTTTCAATTGAAACGAATTCATTTTAAAGATCTCCCTAAAAGCTTTGTTTTTCTTTTCTTTTTTCCCTTTTTTTTTTTCGCCGGAGGGGGTTGGGTGTGAAATTGATTTTCCGTAGCTGATCGTTACGCTTCCACATGTACACACTCAAACGACAATGAAGTATTGGATACATAATTTATCTTACGTTAAGCAAAATAATTCTCATTCTGGCAATGATATGCCAACTCATTCTACCAAAAATTAAGGAAAAATAATTCTCGCTGTTTAGTACTTTTTCCTTCCAGAGACAGTCATGCTAAAATCTGAAATGTAAATTTTTCGAGAAACTAATTCACCCATAATAGATCACGATCTCGTTAAGGTTCATCCAAGAATCCGCATGCCCAAAGGAATTTCAATTTCTACAATAAACTTATTCGCTCAGATACATACTGAAATATCATACTTTATCTCTTATTCTCAAGAAACATATAATAACTAGGGACAGTGACCATTTTGCCACGCTTCACCAAATTATTTATTAGACTGCCACAGGAACAGTAAAAATTGCCGAAATGTCACGCGGCATAATTCGCTACACAGTGTAGTGAAATATGCAGTGTCAGACTGCAAAGTCAGCAAAAATGACACGTGTCAAGCTGACAGTAATTCGCTGGGGTGTGTGGCGAATTATGCCTGTTATGCTGCCAGCTTAACTCTTGATGAGGCTGTAAGTTATCTTCTGACCATCTGTACCAGCTCCCCTCTCTACTGCCTGCACATTTAGCCACCCCACGTTAAAGATCCACAACTACAATGCTACTTAACCATCTTAACTGAATTGACTTTTCAAGCCCATGTAACAAAACTTTGGCTGAGCTATGAACTAAAAACAACATAAGGAAATGAACAATTTCAGGTCTCAGAATATGTGATTGGACTATTGGAGAACTTGGTAAAATGGGTTGAACTTACGAGTCAACCTGTCAAAACGAGATAGGTTGGGACTTATGTATTTCAAGTTTCAACCCACCAACCCAACATAACCCGCCTATATGCTGAGCGAGTTAAAACAGGTTAGGGACGGGTTAACCCACTAGTCACTTTTTAAAAAAAAAATTATTTCAAATGTTAAATTATGGTTTGGTTGATCTATATGAATGGCTATTATGTGAGACAAAATCTTTTCTTTTAGGGCCACAATGCTACTATTTTATTGGGAATGTTATTTTTTAATTACTTTTGATTTGGCAGAAAAAGAGATTGATACTAAAAAAAAAAACTTAAGCTTGTTTTTTGGATTTAAATACTAGTATTTGTACAAATTAAATTAGATGCTTATGAAATTCTAGTTACAGATGCAATGATGTGTTCATTTGCAAATATTCACATGCTTGATGTTATTATTTTGTTATATAATAACACTGAAATTATTAATTAATCTTAAGATATGATTTGTATAGCAATGTTATTTGAAATCATTGGCTTAAATCATTCTTTTATCTTTAACTTATTGCTTGACTTTTTTTTAAACTTAAGAAATATTTAGATGTTAGAAAATAGAAATAAAAGATTAGCATTAATGTTTTTTTTTTTAATATTTTATTTTTTAGATGGGTGGTGGGTTGGTATTTCAACCCACTCACCAATGACTAGTCAACCCGCCCCACCCCATTTTTGGCGGGTTGAAGGTGGGGTGGGGCAGGTTGACCCATTTTGCGAGAAGAAAAGGGGAAGAAATGAACTATTAACTTGAACATAAATGCCGAACATGTATATGGAATATACACCCTATCAACGATTAGCAGAGCCAAGTAAGAACTAAAACCACCAACTGGTTCCTCACACCACCATACCTGATTTGCCAAATTGTAAAAATGGATAATGTTGCGCATCATCCAAACAGACTTGTAGAAGGGACAGAATTTGTCATATCTGTCATGATCACCAAAAAGATAACAACATAAGACGAGTGTCAAATAAAAACAATAGGAGTTGAATTGATATATTCAATATAATCCTCACGGGGAGAAAGCATTTTGTGCAAGATAATCCTCTCTCAGAAGCTTTGCAGTTTCTAAGGTGATCTTGTCTCCTTCAGCTAAGGCATCCTTACCTACAAGCTGGAACAATTCACATGGTCATTATCTTAGATGTAAATGCTCCAATTTGATTTACTACTTGCAGAAAACATATATATAAATCCTGATAAATTTTGTCCAAAGTATAAAAGGTGATGTTGATGTAAAGGAGAAGGGCATAACCCAATAGGTGCCACTTGCAGTGGTTAAAAGTGGTTGTTTGAACTCTAAGGTCGAAAGTTCGATCCTTGGAGAAGCACTTTAGGGAGACCTTTGGCCTTTACCACACCCGGGTCGAAATTACAAAGCAATATATATATCTCCAAAATAAAAAATAAAAAAAGATAAGGTCATAATTTGGCATAGTGTGTTAAAACTCCATTCTTTATCAGACTATTTATTGCCTTAAGTTTATTTTATAACACAGGTTTAACAGACTCTGCTACTTAACAGTCAGTCCTCAGGTTATGATACCTCCTCTATTCACATAAATTGAAGCTCCAGAATTCTCAACCCCTTCCCGGTAAAGAGGATGATGACATTTCATTAACCTACATTTAATATGAGAGAACCAATTAGAACACACCTGGACAATTTCATTCAGGTCATCTTCTCTTTGCAGCACTTCACGAGCCTTTGTCCTAATGTTTATAAAGTCTGGATCAAATTGCTCGTAAAAGGATTCCAATGCCTGGAGGTTCTCAATATATATATATATATATATATATATATATATATATATATAAATCAACAGCAGGAACTATAGGAATACAAATGAAGAAAGCTGAAGAGAGACTATGAATTACAAGGTAACTGATTTTAGGACATACCGTTGAGTACTTTGAATAAGAAATAAGCCAGTTCACAGAAGGAAAATGCTTCCTCTGAGCAAGCTTTTTGTCCAAACCCCAGAAAACCTGCCAAAGTAACAAAAAATTATTTACACAAAATATTAAAGAAAAATTAGGTAGAAGAAATAAACACATGTATACTCGTTTTGACAACCAAATTAGGGTTTTAAGAATTTATGGGCCATCAGTTAAGATAACCCAAGGCGATTTTTTCCCCTGGCAGTTACTCAGTTTTGATAACCACATTTGAAAGTATAATTTTACCTGAACTATGCTGAGGGTTGCAGACGTCACAGGATCTGAAAAGTCTCCTCCAGGAGGAGAAACAGCACCAACAATTGTGACACTACCAGTACGTTCAGGACCTCCAAGACATTTAACTTTCCCAGCACGTTCATAGAAAGAGGCTAAACGTGCAGCAAGGTACGCAGGATATCCACTATCTGCAGGCATTTCTGCCTGTATAAACAAAAAAATAGCTTCTAGTTAAGAGCCATTAAGTTGAAGCAACACTACAAGTGATTTCTCATAACAAAACATTGATCAATGTCAATGTTTTCCCATATGTCATGCCCCATGATATATATAAATTGTCTACTTTATATTAATCAAGGAAGACAATCTAACATCATCAGTAAACACAAAATCATACATGTATTAGATGCAGAAAAAGAAAAAAAAAACAAAAACAAAAAACAAAAAAAAAAAAAAACTATTTCTAAGTTAATCCAGCGAACAAATGTAATTGCATAAATTAATATGATGCCGTCCAGAGATTTCACGCAATGCTTCAGCCCATCTAGATGTTGAATCTGCCATCATGCTGACATTGTAACCCATGTCTCTAAAATACTCAGCTAAAGTGATACCTGGGAAGGAAAAAAAAAAGTTATTCCTGGGAGTCCAAATCAATACACAGTCAAAAGATTGCTCCCATAATAAATTCTTTCTAGTAATAACAGCATCATTTACATGAGTTAAACTAATTCAAAAAACATCTTTACCAAGACAAGCAACACATACATCAATTCTCAGGTAACATTCTAACAAAGAAACTTTACTTCAGTACTCTTCCAACTGAGTTGCCGCTCAGTGGGCAGTTACACATTTAGTCACGTAACATTGAAAATACATGTAATTACATAATGGAATTTTTAACTACATTTGACAAATCAAAGAAAAGTGAATATGCAAAGCATAAATAATCCTCATAAAGTTTCAACCAAAGTATACAGACTAGCCATTAAAAAGTGTGTATACGACTTAGCTCAGAAATTATGTGAACAATAAACATTCTTTATTACCTACACTGTGAATATACTACAGTTTCAGTTCATGAAAAAAAAAAAACATAACGAGAGAGACAGAATAGCAGATTAATGTGCAGAATATGGATCTTCCCCACTTTTGATGCTTTAAGCTCAGATCAAACATTAAGGTTACTTCGCAGCAAGGACAGGTGCCAAAAAACACAACTGATTGCATGAAACACTAACAACTTTTACAAGCCAAATATAATTGTAATGGATAATGAAAAAAAATAGTGAAGATAAATATATCAACATAAAAATTATGTTTTAGAATTTAAGAGGTCAAAAAGGAACCTGTATAAATTGAAGCTTCACGAGCAGCCACTGGCATATTTGAAGTGTTAGCCACTAGTGTTGTACGCTTCATGGCAGATTCTTCACGACCATCAGGCAATGTCATTGTAAGTTGTGGAAAGTCCATCAGAACCTGAATAAACATTAAATTGGTTTGACCAACTGCAAAATACACAAATAAGTATACATATACATTCATGAAACCAGTCTAATCTTGTATGGGAAAGATAGTTAGTTCTTCACTTTAATTTAACCATTGCACGCTACAACATCACATACACGAACAATATTTCAAGGTTGTAAAGGCGACGTCTTCTTCGTCGCAGGAGAGGAGATAAAAAGGATCTGAATCAGGGACAGAGAAAAAAAAATAAAGAGATAAAAACCGCTTATTAATTAATATTTTATATCTGCCAATATATTATGCATTTTTGGTGCCTCCAATTCGTTTTTCACTCTCCATTTGTTTTTCGGTAAACAATTACTCTCCATTTTTACTTTGTCTTTATTCGTGTCAAAATATATGTTGATGCTAATGTACCAAATTAGATATTTAAAAATGATTATTTCATCTCAATTCTGGCCATGTGATGTCTATCCCAAAGAAGAAAATTGTTTGGTGAATTGAGCACCATCCGTGAAGCGTGATTCTAGAAAGGCTAAATCGGATGAATATTTTAATTTAAGAAATATTTCATTCAGAATCTAACAGGAAATTTTGTCGTATTGTCAACATTTTACTGTGAAGCATATCTATTTGCAACCTAACACTAATTTTACTGTGAATCTAGAACGAAATTTTAAAGCATAGTAGTTTTTGTAAATCCAAATCATAGCAAGTTGTTGCTGCAATTATGCAGACGATATGACTTCAAGCAAGTTTGCCTATCTTCAGAGGCATCGTCTGTGTTTTTTTCTTTTCTCCAACTCAGAATTTTCAACTTTCACATTGCCTTGACTTTTCCTCTTTTCCTTCATTTCCTTAACTTTAACTTTCACATCCAAATCCTCAATAACTTTTCCTTTGCCTGCAAAAGGTAATAATACAAGTAAGGACAAAGTCATATCCAGGTAACAGAAGGTTCTAGTTAATGGTGTTACCAAGGCAAAATTCGAGAGGAGCTTGGTCAGCATTTGACTCAAATATTACTCCATCTTCCTTCAACTTTTCAGTCAAATAAATGCTGACCTGCAACCAAAGACTACTTATTTAAATCAAATCGAATCTGCAATTCTTTTTGTTAAAACTTCTTACAGGTAGCCACTAAGATATTTTAAATCATTTAAAAGAACTACCTTTATTCCTGCTGCACCAATTTTTGCATCTTCCCTCTTGTTTCCATCCTCCTCCATTGTCTCCCTACTTTGCTCAACAGATAGACGCATATTGCCCTGACTATTACTCCCTACTTTGCTCAACAGATAGACGCATATCAGATAGACGCATATCACAATCAAAATAAACCAATAATACATGTCAAAAACAATTGTTAAAGAAAAGATGCATTTGTGTAATAATTGAAAAATCAATTTCCACATGTAAGATGATGAAATTGATGTTAACTGTGGTTATCATTCATGAAAATAAAAAGATGTTTGAAGAAAGGATTCAAAATTGAGGAAAGAAGAAATGTCAGAAGAAATTGGTTTTCTAATCAATGAATATATGTACTGAAATCAGCTAGCGATTTATCGAAATGCTTTTCAAACGATCATGTAATTAGTTTTTCTAATAGAGGATTCTGCCAGCCTCAACCTACTAAATTGGTTATTCACTAGATGAAAGACTCATAGTAAAGTGGTATAGACAATAAACTCTTAGTTAGAATTACTATAACATCATGTAATTAATTTTTTTTAAAATGAATGCCGCAAGCCGGCTAACTTGGATTATTCACTTGAAGAAAGACATGGTTTATTAAAATGGAGACAAACTCAAGAAAAAATTGTTCCCTTCATTGAGAGATTAACATAAATATTTGAACGTGCCTTCACTAGAAATTGGAGATGATGGGAAAACCTCTGGATCACTGTCACTGTGATTAGAAATTAAGGGGAAAAAATTGGATTTACAATTACATTTGATCTTTTGATAGACACACAATGTCGCTATCAAATCTAATACATAAAAAAGGAGGACGCAAATCCAAACAGGAAATCCAAGCAAAGATTTGAATTCTACTAAAGAATAAGTTTATGTGATGTTCCTAATCAAATTTTTCCTGAAAAATGGAAATCAAGTTTCCATTCTTCTGAAAAAGATGAATACTGCAAGGTCCAATTACTGAGAATACAGAGAACACACACACATAGGGCTCCTATTTCCAACATTACACTGCAGGGTGCTTTTCGCTGTTGCAGTGCCCAATCCCACAGTGGCCTACAATTATTTTTTTTGCATAAACTATTATCAGTAATAATATAATTGCAATAAAATCAAGAGAACAACACTACACACACTATTACCGTTGAAATACGAAGGCGTCCTTTCAAGTCATTGTGTTCAAGAGTAAAAGGCTTTCCTGGTTTTACTTCAACACCTGAAAATGAATCAATCAATGAATCAATAAATGAAACAATGAATAGTAGTTAGTTCAACACAGAAATGCATAAACAACTTTCTTACCCCAAAAATTCATGTCTCCTTCACCGATGCAAAACCCTAAACCCACAAATGAGATGTTTATATAAGAAAAATATATATTTATATAAGAGAAAAAAAAACTAAATAAACTGGAAATGCTTAACGGACCGCTTACTATTGTAATAACTAGAGCTGTCAAAAGCTGGTATATCAACCCCTGCAAACAAATCCACAAAATCAAAGAAAAATCCTAAGAAAAACATATGAAGCCATCGAGGAGAAAAAAAAAACTTGTGAACGGAAACCGTACCTTTGTAAAGAAGAAGAAGAAGAACTAGTTGAAGCAAGAAGAAATCAGAAGAGAAGAAGAAGAAGAAAAAATGGCTCGCGGAGAAGAAGAACGACGACAGAGATAAATCAGGTTTTGATAAAGGGGGCTGAAAAATAAGTAACCCGAAAAGAACGAGGGCAAAAAAAAAAGCGCTGAAAAATAAAACTACCATTTGAGGGCTAAAAATCGGGAGGGCCCAAGGGGTGGCCCATTGGGTTAGGGCCACCAGAACCCCAAGTTGAAATTCAGGTTCTTCTTTCTCTCTCTTGTGGTGTCTGTTCGGAAATCTTACTTTTTTCCCACAGTAAAATTTCGAGTTTTAGTTTTTATTTTAGGGTTTTATTACTATAATGTTACATGATATAAGAATATTTTCCTACTCTCACAATAAAGAAGAGAGAGGTGGAATGATGAATCAAGAAAAAAAAAACATGTGGATCCCATCTCTTAATTGTGTGTGTAGGAAAATTTTCTTGGATTATGTAACATGATAGTAATAAAACCCTTTATTTTAAGATGAAAATTATGTATGGCCATTTCAACTAGTGATTGTCAAAAATAATGCAGGAAAGAGGGGATTTTTTTTTTCTATAGGCCAAAAGTTGGTAAGGAAGAAACTCATAGCGCGTGTGATGTCCAGCGTTTCAAATTTCTTATATAGTTATCTTTTTCTCGTATATTAAATGCTAAACTCTTTTTTCACTTTTTAGGTTCAAAATTTAAATTTAAAAAATTTAAATTTTCAATATTAAATATTTTTTCACCCAATAGACCTAATAATTAATATTATTAATAAGTTTAAGATAATTTTCCATATAAAAAGTAGTGGAAAACATGGATAGAAGGACATGCACATTCTCCAAATAATAGTTTCTAGTTTTCATTTACGACATGAAATTGTGTTATTACTCTTATCAAAAAAACGAACGTTTAATTTGTTTGTTACATATTAAATTAAAACCTTTTTTGCAGCGATTAAATTTTATTATTTACATAACGATAAATGTCATTTTTTTATTTAAATTCAAAATTTAAATTCATTTATTTTTATAGTGTATATTTGGTAAATTGAATTGCACTGCATTTAATACAATCAAATATTTTATTATTTAAACAAAAACATAATTAAAAAGTATATATATATGTGTGTGTATTAGAAACACGGTCATTAGAAAAAACGTAATTAGAATACTCTATTTAATCAAATTCCAATTTTTGATAATTTTAGTTTTTGCTTTATACTCTTTTCTCACCTATCAAGTTCAAAATTCAAATTTAAAAAGTTTGAATTATATACATTAAATATTTTCCCCCAATAGATATAATAAATAACTAGTATATGACCCGTGCGATGCACGGAGAAAAAAGATCAAATTTTTTGTCGTCCGTCGTGATTGGTTACTCGCGCTACAAATCTTATACTTACAAAAAATTGTGTTGCAATCTTGTTGTATATTTCAGATGGAAAAATTTAGTATATTAACACAAAATTTTGCAAATATCAACCATAAACAAAAATATTATGCAAATCAAATATAGTTATCTACTCCATGAGTTATATAAAAAATAAATACGTTATACTGGACTACCATCTGATTGTTATCTTATTTTTTTTTGCAATGATTTGTGTCATTAGTATTTAAAATTTTATAAATTTGTATTTACAAAATTTGAACACATTGTGCCTTTAAATAGGATATACTTGTTTTCATAAATATATAAAAACATTCACTTTTCCTTTCAATAATTACACACAATTTTTCAATTTCTTTTGTTTCGTTTATTGAAATCATTTCACCTATATATAAAACTTGTTTTTGAAATCGAAAGAAATTTATTTTCGAGGTCATATGAGCAAATCTTGAGATAGTACCATAAAAGAAATACATAGAAAACTAAATACAAAATTTCGATTTAATTTTTCATAATCAGAAATCTTTAAAACATTGTCATATTAAACTTGTAATCATAGAATTCACAGAAAACATAAATCAGAAACAAATATAACCATCTAAAAAAAAATACGGTAGTAAACGATGACATAGATGAATAGCTTATAACTTTCTACGAAAAACTTAAACCATTATCATCCTACAGATTAAATTCCCAGCAAGCTCAATAGTCCCAGACAGCTTTGACTTCGCAACAGGATCATTAGGAGCTGCTACCATACTTCTGCTAGATGAACAATCAGCATTGTTCGAAGGTGATATTGATGATTTCAAATTCCCAGAGGTACTAGTAAGCGTAGCAGAAGGAATGTCAGTAGTACTAGGCAGAGAGAGGACCTGCATCACCTTTTTTGTTGCCTTGAAGGGCCTACCCGACAGCTTGGATGTGTACAGCTTCTTCAGGTTGGTTCTAAGCTTCTTCCTTTTTGATTTGGAAGAGACTACAGTAAAGCCATCCCCCACCATCAGAGCATCGGATTTTGAATGGTCCAAAATGCCTTCAGGTTGCTGGACATCTATATGAGTTGCTACTGCATGTTCTGTTTCAATAGGTGCCTCCACTGAATCTTTAGCTTTGGGTGCGTGAGTGCAAGAACCTACTTCGTGTCCTATAGTCTTGCAGTAGGAACAGAAAGTTGGTTTATTCTCATACTCCATCGGTTGCTTAAGCTCATTACCATCTGGCAATTGGATAAACACCACCTGAGTTAAGTCCTTGGATGCATCAACCTCCACTAAGGCACGAGCAAAAGAGATTGAACCCCTAGTGGCAGTGAGGTGGTCAGTTCTCAAAGGCTTGCCTATCTTGCAAAGGATCTTGGCAAGTGCCTTCTTGCTCCAAAGTTCCCAAGGTAGGTTCCTAAGCTTGATCCAAACGGGAATTCTACTAAGCTCCTCATCACCAAAATGGAAGAAATGAGGCATTGGTTTTAATAGTAGAGGGCTCTTAAACACAAAATATGGCCCAGCTTGAAGAACCTTATTCATATCCTCTTCGGTAGTAAATCTGAAGATTAACCAGCCACTAGAGTGAGGAGAATAAGAATACTTCACTCCCCATCTCCTACAGACATTGAGCAGCACTTTGAGTCCCGGAAATTTGCCAGCTATATATCCGATCAAACAGAAGCCAATGGTTTCATCAATGGCTTGGACATCTCCAAGTTCGAGTGTGACCTTGTCATCCGTAGTTGAAGGTCCAATTTCATCGCTCCACTGGTGGCCTTTATTTTCTGATCTATTATCTTTGAACAGATTGGCCCATGGAGCAGCTGGGAGTATTGGTTGCTGAATTTTGGATTCACCCGCTCCATTAGAGTTGCCCTCCATTTCTTCAGTAATGGAACCATCCACTCCTAGCGTCACAGAAGGTTCTGAAGCTACTGCTTGTTGGGAACTAGGACTCACATCATTGGAGTTCAAATCCTCTGAAGAAGCATCAGATTCAAAACAGTCTTCTAGGTGGGGACTTTCATCGAACACTTGGGCTGCAACCGGGAAGACGTTCGAAGAGCTGGGTACCTATAATGTGGGGCTAACCTCAACATCCGCAGCAGCTGCAACGACACCCTTCACAATGGGACTTAGCTTTTCCTTTATGTTCTTCCCCATTTTGGGGAGAACAAAAGAACAGAAAAATACAGACCACAAAGGATGCAATAAATAACCACCAACTGAAGTAAATGTAAATGTTACTAGCAAGAGACAAGTAACCCCACCAGCAGATTTTTTACCAAGTTAAGAGAGGATGGACGTGGCAGATGGATAACCAAAGGGAGAAGTCTACCCACCGATTAAATGCCAAAGACCCCACCACCAACCTCCTTTTCCTTCGTGGTAAGCTCAAACCAACGAATAAAGGTCAAGGTGGCCCCACAACCGACCACGGACTGGACCCTTCACAAAACGTGCCACAGAAACAGTCAAACGGGTTAGACCCTTAAGCCAAGTGCTTATTGAAGCACAACTCGAGCAAGAGGCCAACGTGCTTTCAGTGGCACAAACGAGCAAGATGCACTTGCTACACGTGGCTGAAGCTAAGATCCAGAAGCCAGCCCACGTGTAGCAATACAGAACCAGGAAGCCAACAGTGAGTAGAACCAAATCGAGCACGAGAAAAAGCCAACGATGAGTGCTCCAAATCAGTCCATACATAAGAAACAAACCGACTTCCCTCCAGATGCCAAAGCTAACAATGGAGAGGTTACCCACCCACCGAGCCACAAGGAATCTCCCAATGGTGGGTTGACCGAGAGCTCTTTTTTGATTCAATGGGTGGTGGTGCATGGCCGTTCTTAGTTGGTGGAGCGATTTGTCTGGTTGACTGAGAGCTCTTTCTTTTTTTGGGAAAAATGTAAATATATATTAACCCAAAGAGATATACAATATAGACGGGGCATACCTCGCAAAATCAAAATAAGACATATGCACTCAGTGTAAGAGCCTAAGCTAGTCCACTAGGAGCATGTGCCTAATACAAGTGAGTCAAGTGAGCATGTCTATAAACAAGAAATTTAATCTTGTTAGTAACATCATCAACCAAAAAGGGAACGTGCTCAAAAAGTAGTAAATTTCTGGCCAACCAGATACAATAAACTGTCACACTTATGACAAGGCAACGAGTCTTCCCAAGGGATCCAGAAGTAGCTTTAGCCCGAACCAGATGGTTCACACTCCCCTGAAGAGAAATGAAGCTGCGAGTAATAGGGGACCAGTCACGCACCTCCTTCTAAACACGGATGGATGAAGGGCAAAGAAAAAATAAGTGTGCATGGGACTCATCAACCGTGCGGCAGAGTGGGCAAATCGGGTCCAAGTCCAAGAAAGGGGCTCTGTCCAATGTGAGGAGCTTGCTCTTCATGGCCAACCAGAATATGAATGCAACTTTGGGGGGTAAAGCTGTATTCCAAACGACCTTATGCCAATAAACAGTGGGATTAGGATGTCTGAAATACATGTAAGCTTTGTTGGCAACCAGAATATCATTATGAGTCCAGGAAACTAAGACTTGCACCGCCCCATCCTTGTGGTATTCACGCTCCAAAATAGTATCTCTAATCAAAATAATTTTCTTGAACAGAGGAGAATCCGAGGGAGAAGAAGCATGATCCCAGATATTACCTCCCTGGAGGTACTGGCTGTGGACCCATTTGATCCATAAAGAA